CTTTGTGTCACTTGGCATCTATCCCCCACCAGAACATTGAATTTTCTACTTGTATTTTGGCTTGACTAGTGCTAACCATGGTTATATGCAATGCTGTCTCTGCCTGCTTTACATTTTTCATATCTGACATGCAACGTGCCCTCCAGAGGAGGTCTTTTAATCTCATCTTTCTTCACCCTCAAGCTGTGTAGACTTTTCTCCAGTTAGTGCACAAAGAACCTACTGAGCTGCACCTTCCCCCAGCATCAATAGGATTTGCCAACGTAAATCTCTCATCTATCAATGGATTAACATGTTTAAAATGCAACTGAGTGGATTAAAGAGCTCAGGCAGCGGTAATAAGATATATACCTTTCACTGCAGTAATGCCAGTTCAGATCAATCCAGGATGTCAGTGACTGGGAGTTACCATTTGAACTGCATCAACTGAGCGTGGTTACAAACTCGTGTCATGAATTTCTCTTTCGGCAGGACGGGGAGCTAGTGAATGGAGTGAGCTGTGCAAGCAGTGCCTTCCCATTTCAGGGAATAGAAAGATATGCATCCAGATTTAACTTGGACAGATTTTAAGACATTTGATAGAAATAAATTGTGGTGCAGTGGGATTTCTTGTTTTGTCCTTTTAAAGAAAAGGGATGATGTTTGCTGGGGGAGGAGGGGCAAAAATAGCAATATTGTCATTATTACTCATAATTTTCTTCAAATGTGGATAATGTTTGCAATAATATTTATAACTTTGTTCAGTTCTGCACCTCAAGTGGCATGGCCCAGGGCACTGATTGGTGTCCTCTGGCTATCTTCTTGGGACAGTTGTGTCTACATCTGTTGCTCCCCTCTGTTGCAGAATGCTCTGTATGGAGGGGGACGGGACTGGTCTGCACACATATGTGGATTTTGTTCTGTTTTTAAAATGCCTTTTTTTTTTAAGGGACAGTTCCCTTTTGTTTTTAAGCATTTAAAAGCCTTTTTTTTTTTTGCATAGACCTGTCACAGCATGCAGCACAACCAACATTTTTGTCTTTAGAAGTATATAGCTCCTATTACAGAACTAATGTGTTTGGATCCCCTTGAGAAGGGAGCCACTTGGAAAAATGAGTCACAGTTTATTTCCAAATCTTGAAGTGGTGGGTATGTGATTTTTTTTCCCCTCTGAATTTTTGAAACCATTTGTCAGAGAAGATAAGCCTCAGCCTTGGTTAAAAAGTAGCAATCGTGGCAAAACAGTTTAGGAGTTCAAGTAAGGGCCAGAGAAACTATGACCCATATGAGAGGTCAGGTATGCCATTCTCTATCTTCTTTTTTTTTTTTTTTTTTTTTTTTTAAATTCAGTCATACTTTTGCTTCTTCCTGGAAGTAGTTGGTAATGCAGAGTTTGGTGATGTGTAGTGTCTTCTAGACTTCTGCATTTGGAAAATACATCTGTTAAGTAAAGCAATTAGTGATTATGTATTGGGTTGTTTTTAAGATAATTCAGGTGTTTTTCTGTAAAGCTATTACCAATGTTATAATTGTTCTTACCTCATTTTAGAATCATAGGATCATAGAATGGTTAGAGTTGGAAGGGACCTTAAAGATCATGTAGTCCCAATCCCCATGCTATGGGCAGGGATACCTCCCACTAGACCAGTTTGCTCAAATCCCCATCCAATCTGGGTTGGTTCCCTTCTTTCAGGAAAACATTACCAAGCAAAATGTATAGCAGAAAATAGAACTCACTTGTAACCTAGTATGGTGAAGTAGAGACTATATAGCATCATGATAGTTATGAGCAAAAGAGAATCTGAGTCTCTTTCCTGTGCTAGTAATTAACTCTCCTGCTTCAGCTGAAGTCCTGTTTCACACGATAGTTTTCTCATCTGTGTATGTTATTATAATAGAAATAATACTTAAGATTTTCAGACAAAAGATGATGAGTAAATTATCATCATTACCAGATTTCTTGGCTGCCTAATACTAGGTTCAGGGATGTTAGTACATATGTGAATGGAAATGGACTTCAGTGCAGCAGTACTGAATACGCACATGAACAGCTGGCATAGCAGGAGGTAATTGCGTGTTTAAGTGTTTGCATGGGTCCATGAATTTTGTAGCTGGCCTCACAGTAGCTGTGTGAATGTTGACTATTTGTTCCATGAAATTCTGAAACTTCAGCACACTCATGTAGATTCAGTTCTTTCATTTTTATTATGAAAATTAACTCGGGGAAATAAGGATTTGGTGTATAGGGATGGGTATGTTAAAAAGGATCCTTGATCATGTGGAGAACATAAGAGGAGAAACACAGTGAATGGAGGTCAGCCCTGACAGCTGGTGAGGGGGGTTAATGAGTGAGGGACCAAGGGTCCTGCATGTCCAAGGCAGCACAGCAACCAGATCCAAACTAACGCTGTCAAGTCCAGGATTCGAAGTGTAATGGCTACATAGCTATCTTGAGAGCCAAGAGGGTGTCTTCTAGGGCTGGAACTGTCAGGAAGAATGTGCTTCATGTGTTCTCTCTGCCTCTGGCTGCCACCAGTTGCTAGTTTCCAGGTATTGGTCTGAGGCAGTATCTGTCAAACACTCCGTCAAAGTTGAGTAACCCTTGCTGGAAAGTAAATGCAGGTTTTTCACCCAGCATGTTTAAATGCAAGAGCTCTGAATTAAAATGAAAAATTTGCTTTTTTAAGGGTTGAAAGCCAGTGCTTTAGGTGTCTGTGAAGAAACTAAAGGCTGTGTGAGAACATCTCAGAATCAAGGTTTAAAGAAGTAATCTGGTAGATGTAGCAGTTACATCTTACTCAAAAGCTCTCCTTTTCTAGAGTGGAGGTTGCTCTTTTTAAATGGCCAGTAACCTCACCGACTTTTTCTTTCTCTTCATCCACTTTTCTTCTGCTCTTCATTATTCTGTCCCCTTTGTAAGCCCAAATGCCTCTGTCCCAGAGAGCATCTCTTGCTCATATAACAGTTGCATAGTGTCAGATTTATTGCGTTGGATCAGGTCATTTGCTTGGCATTTCTCAAGAAGCTGGCAAAAATAGTGTGAATTTACTCTGTTATGCCTCTTGCTATTTTATTTTATGCAGGTGTAGATCAGGCAAAGTGAAAGGAATGGGAGTTTTGGTTGTCTCTTATTCCTTCTACCTTGTCAGAGGTTCTCGTTGACTCTGCTCCTCTCCAGAAAATGCAACACAGATAAATTAAAATGGATGATGTTTTTCATGTTTTTGTGGTTGTGGTTGTCTTGTGCCTTCTTTTTTTCTGCTTCATTCTGTTTTGTTCTTCCTTCATCTCCACAAAGGAAAGACTTCACAGAGCTCCAGAAATGTGTGATGCTCACATGCTGTGTGGGCTGTGCCAGTGCTGGGTCTACCTTTTACTTAGTTTTGTGTCCCTGAATTCTGAGCCTGAGGAACCACTGCCATAAAATACTGAAGGTCAATGTTACAGTGACAGTGGCCACAGATTATTTAATTCAGTTCTGAGTGATGGCTGACAATGCTACAGGTTGGGTATGACTCCTGGCCAGTTTTGCCTTCCTCTTTGTGTGACAAAGTAAAATGATTCAGCTGGATGCAGTCAGTAGTTGTCTTGAGGCATGGGTTTGCCAAGTATTAAAAAGGGAGGCTAGTTAATAAAGAGTGTTTGAGGGCCAGACTGATAATGATATGAAAGTGTGAAAAGCTGCAGAAAATAAAACTATTATTTCGCATGTATATGTATCCTTAGGCAGCTAAGTGCCTGTAGAGATTTATTCCCATTTCACTGAACTTATTGTTAGTGTTAGTCAGTGGAGGTCAATGTCTTCCTTGCTTGAGTTAACAGTAGGACTTTTTTGTAGCATTCTGTACTACTGCTGAGGAGTTGTACAGAGAAATTTTGTAGTTATGTGCCGGTGTGTTGCACATGTTTGGGCTGGTTGTAGTAACCCTGTTAGAAGAATGGTTTGTCGTCTTGGTAATTAACAGAATCCACTTGGTCTGACGCAAGTATTTTTAATTTTAAGTGCTTTTGAGAAAGGAAGACATGAGCAGCACCTGCTAATGAACAGTTATTTCAGAGTTCTTATTATTCAAAATTAGGTTGTTATTTTGCTATAGAGCAAATAGTAATGGGGTTGTATATTTTATTATTCATCAGTCAGATAGCTGCATATTTTCCAGTGGTACGCTGTTAACGTGCCAAATAAATGGCATGGTTGGTTTGTTCTTTCTCTCATTCTCTCAAGAGAGGATATCGTGTTTTGTGGTATAGTGTTTTGTTCTGAGGGATATAGAAAGGGGCGTGCACCCCGCACTCATTGGTACTGGCAGAGGCAAGAGCAAAGCGCATTGTGCCCTTGGAGTGAAAAGTCTGTGGGAGGTGGTGTTCCAGGGCAGATTCTTGTCGCAGTCTTGCACCTATCTCGATAAAGCTGTACCAGCTGCACATGGCAGCTTGCCCTTCACCGCAGGCAGCTGCACTGCACCAGGCAACAGAGCTGCAGGCTTTAGGTGACCTTCTAAGCAGCTTGGATTGAGGCAGTTTGAAGGTAGAGAATAATGACCTAAGAGAGAGAGCACTTGCATTGATGTGCTTGGGGGCTGTACTTAGTATTGTGAAGTTTTTTGTGAAACACTTCCTATGCCAACTCTGCTAGAGTCATATCCACAGTTCTTCATGTTTGATACCTGAAGGTCAATGCTTTCTCTTTAAAAGTCATCTTTGTAAATATTTTGATAGTTTGCAAGTCTTTGTTTTATTGTTTCTTTATTGAACACCCCCACCAAAAAATATTTTCCAAATCAAGACTCCTATTTTTTATTTTTCATTTTTCATGTTGGTTTTGAGTTTTATGTTTTGGGGGGTGGGGTGGGGGGTGTTTTTATTTTTGTAATCCTTTCCCCCATTTTCTACCTTCCCCTGTCTCCAAAGACTTTACAGTGGCTCCCTCATGCCTCCCAGTTCTTAATTCCACCTTAATTTACTTTGAGTCCGGTTGGGAAAACATATTTCATTATTCTTCCATTCTTATTCTGTTGCAGATTTTGACTTGAACTATTTTTGGCATTGGAGCAAGTTTACAGACTACGTGCAGTGTGTCCTGACCTTCACTGTCGTGACCGGTTACATCACTTACCTCTGGCTTGACTCATCTCTCTTTGTGGAAACGCTGGGCTTCCTTGCAGTGTTCACAGAGGCTATGTTAGGTGTTCCCCAGCTCTACCGTAACTACCAGAATAGGTCTACAGAAGGAATGAGGTATGGTGTTTATCTTACATGAAACAAGTAAGTGTGTGTGTGTGTGTGTGTGTGTAGGTAAATCTTTGTGTAGTGTGGGAATACTTTTCTAGGCAGGGCAGTGTCATCTTTCTAAATTTTACCTGAAAATACAGCAGCTGTCCGAGTAGATTCTCTGTCAGCTGGAGCAGCGCTGCTGAAGGCAGTGGGAGCTCTGTTACACCTCTGAGGTCCGACCCATTGTCCAAGTCCAGCTGGGCAAGTCCAAGGTGAAACACGTTTTAGTAAAATAAACATGAAAAACTACAGCTGTTGCCATTAGGAACACACTGTAGTTCAATTCAAGCTGTGCTACACCGGTAATGAGAAATGGACAAAAGAGATCTTACGTATCAAAAGTAATAAAGAGGAAGAAAATACTTTGACCCTGCAGTTAATAACTGTCAGTGTAACTCATGTATTAGCTTATCACTTTTTCTCATGCATCTACTCACCACTTTTTTGTAATACATTATTATGTATGTAGCAAATGATACCAGTATTTGTTTTTGTGTGAAAGTTTGTAACTCAAATTCAAAAAAGCTCAAACAAGACATTTGCAGGCAAGACTGGGAAACCCTTTGTAAACAAGGGATGGACAAAAATAATCTTGTGCCCACTGCTGGGGTGCTAAACTAGATTATCTTTTCATACTGTTTACTGGATATCTCAATGGTGATGCTAAGATTTCCAAATTGCAAAGGCAACTTGTAAAGCTTTTCAAGAGAGAGAACGTTTACTGTGGTGCATCAGTACACAAGTCTATCGAAACAATACAGCAGCAAATTCAGTTCACAGAATGCTGTGATCATTTGTGACTCTGTCTTCTCTTTTATTGTTTTGAAATTACTTCTCTTCTTTGCTTTTAAACTTGCGGGGACAATTTTAACAAATAACCGCTCCCCACTGCCCCCAAACCAAAGCAATTCTGTCCTTTGTCTGTTGACACTACTCCCGTTACTTGTTTGGCTTGGAGACACTTACACTAGCTACTTTAAGTTCTTTTCTAGCTTGAAATGTTATTGAGGGAATGTTCAGAAATTTGCTTTGATTCTTAAGGCATTTCCTGATTGGGAGCCCCTTTGGTAGAGAGTGAGTCCGGATTTACGTCCAAAATATTGAGGTATTTTTCATGCACACACTGCCTTGGAAAATTCTGTACCTGTGATATCCAGAAGGCAGTTTACCTACTAGACCTTCCTTATGCTCTGGTTTGACTTTTCCCTTTATGTTTTTTATCTGTGAATCATAATGCCATAATGCCACATTATGATAGCCGCTGCCAAATAGAGTTTTGCTTTTCCTTAGCTCCTCTCTGGGGACCTGAGTTTCAGTTTTCCAATTTCCTGTATATGCTATTTAGCAAAAAGAAAAAAAAAAAAACAAAACCTTTCTGCTTCACAACAACAGTTTCTTTGTAAAGCATTAAGTGTAGAATTGCAGAATTCTCATCTGAAAGTGCTTGGCAAGAGAGTTCTGTGTTTAGTCAAGAGAAAATAGTATAAAAGCTCTTGTTCCCTTGCCATCAAACAGAACCAGGTCCAATGATAGCCACCCTCCTTATTGACTGTGCCCACAGGTTTTTCAGAATGGATTCCCCTCTCTGGTCCTACTCTTGAAGCAGTACTTTGTATGGCATTGCACATTGATGGGTTTGGGGACTGATGAGACAATACACAGCTTATGCTGCTTTACTGCAGTTCTAGTATGTTCATGCAAATGCATGTTAGTACTCCTTCTTTTTTCAGGTTATATTGCAGTTTTAGATATGTTGCAGGTACCACCTATAGTTTCTAGCAGCATGCAGTCCTGAGTTTACTTGATGGTCTCTAAGCATTATCAGGCTGTTCCTGCTGTGAGAGCGACTTCCGTGGGTGTATTACCTTCTGTTGATGGAGCTGTTGGAAATATTTCCCCTGAACTTCCCTTCCTGTGCCTGCCTCTCTGTTTAAAATCACATCAGAGAAGTAACAGTCCAGCCAGGCTACTCATAGGACTAAGTTTATGAACTTGCATGGGTATTTATCAGATGGGGGTTAGTTGATAGCTA